TTATCGGTTTTTCTACATCTAAAATACAAAGACTTGGGGAAAAAATAATGAAGATTGATAGAAAAATAAACATAATTTCACTAGAAATAATGAACGTCGGAGAACCAATCGACGCGGCGCCAAAAATATAAATTTCTCCCAGAGAGCAGAACAAAGGTAAAGCTTATTAATACGGACATAATGAGCTACCAACGAGATATTTAGGGTTTATGGCAGTTTTAATGAGGTTATAGAAGAAAATTTTTATTTATAGCATTTTCCAAATAATAGTTTTTGTTTGTTCAATTAATCACGAGCACGAATGCACTAATTAAATTTTGTTTATTTTTAATAAGTGCAATAATGAACGTGCTTACTAGAAGAATATCGTTATAAAGTTAGAATTTAATATAATTATGAAATAAATAATAAGATATGTTAAAAATATGAATTAACACCCTCTGTGGTTATATGCTAGTAGGGCAAATGTCTCTTATCGTAGTTATAAGAACATTTTGACTAACAGGCTTAATCCTTAATTTTGTATCTATCTTAAGCATTAAAACAATAACCTTTCATTTGCTTTTTATTGATCTCGCGAAAAGGGTCTCATAAACTGAATGGCCCAGAGCAAAGGAATTTATAGTCATATTGATGTTTGCAGAGAACTTTCGGAAGCTTTATTTCATACGCGAGTTTCGATGGAGTATGCTCGTCTCGTTCTGATTTTGAAATTGAAAATCGGAACGTGGTTTAATATGCCGAAGCTCTCATGTCAATTTTAATAATCTGTTTTTCGTTTCGCATTGACGTTGACCACATGTATATGGCGCTATGTCCAAAAACTAGATACTTAACATTTTAATAGACTTAAGATCTATATTTGATTTTTTTTATATTTATTATTAATACCCCTGATTTTTGTATATTCAGTAACATATTTCTTTGCCTCATATGTTTCTCTTATGCCTATATGTCAATATAATTATTTATTAAATATAATTTTTTTATTATTTCTCTATTCCTACCAGTTAATCCCCTGAGTGGATCAGTTTATCTACTGAAGTGGATGCCGAAACTAGAGTACTACATTTAATACTATGACAAAATTCAACAACTGTGTGACATGTGCTAAATTATCCAACTTTAATACTATAATAATAGGCCTAAACGTGTAGGGCCTTTGTAAGCTTAGGTTACAAAACTTTTATAACATAATCTATGACATAGTCTTTTTAGATGAAAATAACTAGCAAGAAATAAAATATTATTGACGCAAGAATATATTTTAGGTGTAAGTAAAAAAAATAAATCGGAAGATTTTACAACACACTGAATCACAAGCATTCATATTATTTTTAATTTACCTATTCATTATTCCATACACCCTAAATATAGATTACAAATGGCAGATTTAATGCCTGTTCGCATTCTGCTGCGTGTTGGCATTCGGCACCTGGGGCGTGAAGAGAAATTGTGGTAGGGGCAATATATAATACGGTAATAGTGGAATGAAATCAAAACATATACGCATATCATATCATCTATACTATTATATAAAGAGGAAAGATTTGATTGTTTGTATGTATTGCATAGGCTCCGAAACTACTGAACCGATTTGAAAAGTTCTTTCACTGCTGAGAAGCTACATTATCCCTGCTTGACAAGGGTTATATTATATTTAAAAAAAATTAGGGATCCTTACTAAAACTCCAATAATGTTATTGAAGGTGTACAAAAATTACCTAGAATATTCTTTACATCGCGTGCCCTGCGAAAACTATTGATGATAGAATAAAATAATGTACTACGACTTTGCAGACCACATCATTATTAACAAAAAGTGTCGGGACAGCATATGTCTAACTATTATAGTTATGCCACAATAAGTGTTCTTTTATTTTAAAATTTTATTGAAATAATAATAGGAATGAGGAATAAATAATTCCTCAGCAAGGTACTGTGCGTAACAAAACTATGACATGCATGCAATTGTATGCATTTAGGTTGATGGTTAGAGCTACCTGTTTTAAGCCATTGCATTATTACTGGGACTTATTAGGGTTCCGTACCCAAAAGATAAAACGGTACGCTATTACTAAGACTCCGCTGTCCGTCTGTATGTCCGTATGTCTGTCCATATGTCACCAGGCTGTATCTCATGAATCGTGATAGTTAAACAGTTGAAATTTTCACAAACGATGAATTTCTGTTGCCGCTAAAACAGAAAATACCAAAGAACAAAAAAATATAAATAAGTGGGGCTTCCATAAAACAGACATAATTTTTTGGCCGTTTTCATAAATAATGTTGACAGTAGTAGTGTTTTGACATTATGTAAGTGTAATACTTCTATATTGAATAAAGATAATACAAACATGATTTTTTTTATGTGATAGAGTGGCAAACGAGCTGGCTTGATGTTAAGTAATAACCGCCGCCCATGGACATTTGTAACACCTGTAGGGTTGCAAATGAGTTGCCATCTTTAAATAAAGTGGGCCCCGGCTACCTCTCTCACCAGACGAAACGTAGAAGTACAACACTTCTATTTTACGCCGGTCTTCTGTGAGGTCGGTACGGAACCCTTCGTGTGCGAGTCTGACTCGCACTTTGCCGGTTTTTATTCAATACATTGTCGATATGATGATCGAAAAAGATATCATAAAGATTGAATTACATATGAAGTCGTAATCACCAGAGACTGAGGGCTGGAGACACATTCATCTTAGAGACGCTTTAAATCAAGACATTGGCTCATCAAATATCTGATCATCAGACATCGGTCAACAAAAAAAAACCAAAGATGCGATGATTTATGTCCGAAGCTATGGGAGACCAGACTTATTTGTCACTTTTACATGACGTAATTTCAAGGGTATTTCATTAAAAGATGAAGAAATTCATAAAATTATTCCCCAAAGACGAAATATTCGAAAGGTTTTATGTGTGTGTATGATAATTTTTATGTTTTAGAAATTTTGTTAAATACCCATGCGAAGCCGGGGCGGGCCGCTAGACATATCATAAAAATTGTAAACTTGAACAAATGTATAAAAATGTACCACATTGTCTGACTTATATGGCGACGCCAATTACTCCTGAAATTATTGTCATATTTTCTCTACACGTGAAAGCTTTCCCGAAAGTTTTGACTGTTTTTACACCGTATCGAGACCGGAGCGACATCTAGTATTAAATATTGCACAGAGCGACAACCTTTGAACAAAGTATGAATTACTTTGAATATCGCAAATAATATGATTTATTCGTATGGGTTTATAAATACAGTTCCGGAACCTTCGGATAATTTAAAAACGGATCTTTTGTGTTTCTGTGGTGGCCGATAGAACAATTTGATAACTCTATTGGAATTAAACCACCAAAAAATGAGCCGTCACGGGACGCCTGGCAGATGTGAAACATCAACATTATTTGGTAAAAGTAATATGCAGAAAAGAACAGATTGTGATAGGAACTAAATATGTCATAATGATAAAATAAAATATTACGATTTTTTTTTCAGATAACGATCACTATTTATTGAATAAACATTTATTTCCATTAAATACAAAAATTTAAGAATTTATTTCAAATCGTGACTACTTAATTTGTTTATCAGTGACTTCGGTAATAGTACACACAATTAATTAAAGTTAATTTAATTAATTAATAAATAATTATTAACAATTAATTTAAATTTGAGTAATTAATCGTACACACTACTGCATATATATAACATCATATAGCGTGGCGACGCGTCGCCACGCCAGAAATCGGTTTTACGTGCGGCTATAGATGTTTCACATCAACAAAATCCTAGAAAGTTTGAACCTACCTTACCAGCCAACTCTGATCAGCTCTGCTCCTGGGTTGAACTCCTGTGTACCGGGACGAGGGATCCCGCTTTAGGGATCTTGCTGTGATTTTTTTTTGTTTTCCATAATAATTTTCACTGAGCACTCGGCGGTTGCACACAACGCATTTGAATTTTTCGACTGGCTTCAGGGCCGCGGCGCGGCGTGCGCGCGTACAGCATCGAAACATGGCGATTTGGCGGGAATTTTAAATTTTTGGGCCCAAAACCCTAGTTTTCTTATTTTTTTTCATCCATTATTTTTTTTTTTTAAATTTGACAGAGATTTTTTCCATTTATTTCTGAACTGTATAATCTGAAGTGTATAATTTGAAGTGTATAATCTAATGTCTATATAATGTCAGGCATGTGTTGTGTAGTAATAAAATCATTAACAACATAATACAGTTGTGTTGACCCAAAAATGGGATAGACAGGTTCAAAAAGGTCACAAATGCGATCTTTCGATTAAGTGATCCTAATGAAAATATTGAGTACATATCAAGTTAGAATGAGTTACAAAGATAAGTTCTAAAAGATAACACTTCTACGCCTTGTGACCATCAATCTTAGATGCTGACATTTCATCTCGGCAAGCGGAAGTTTCTTCTACCCACACCGCCTGCAAACTTTGGCGTTCATTCTTTTTTCTATAAATGTACTTCATGTTTACCTTTTTTTTCACCAATCAAGTTATTATATTAGACAGCAGCTAAAATAATAGTTTAAAAAACTAAAAAACGTGTTTTTGTAAATAATCAAAAAATAATTTTCAATAAATTTAAATTATGAATAATGTGAATAACAAAAAAAATCGTTCGAACTTTCACTATTTTGTGATCAAACTTAAATTGAAGAAACAAATATTTAACCGATACAATTGCTAGTGTAATTTAGATATTTCAAATTGTTCTTAAAAAACAAAAATATCTTACAGAATAAATCTTTGCGAATTCTCGTAAACGACGAGGGAAGAGTAAAGAGAACGGAAGCGATAAAATCGTAAAAGTTTGGGTGTTCAAGACAGAAATCGAGGTGGGCGAAGATGTCGATCAAATTGAAAAGCAGGACCGTAATTAACATTTATTACTAAAAAAAAGACGGATAGCGAAACGTTTATTTATAACTCCATTAACAGTATTAACTATTTGATCTATTTGGTCTATCCGGAGGTGGTGGCCTTGGCGGCCTCCTTGAGCCGGCCGTTCTCCTCCACCAGCGCCTGCACCCTCAGCTCGTACTTCTCGCGCAGCTCCTGCTCGTAAAGGAAAAAAGTATCAGCTTATACACATCCCACTGCTGGGCAGAGGCCTCCTCTGTACAGACCTCTGTATCATAGTCCACCACGCGGCCCCACTGCGTATTGGCGGAATATATCTTCGAAATTATTTTTTTTTATTAATTCGAAAATACGCAGGTCTCCTCACGATGTTTTCCTTCACCGCGGAGCACGTGATAAGTCAGCACTTAAAGTTAAAAACTTCGTCGGTGCCGACACCGGGGATCGAACTCAGGTTGCTCGAGTATATTGAATTAAAGGCGAGCGCCCGGACACTGAGCTGTCGCGCCGTGACAAAACAACCACTTTTAGATACGACTTTCTTCGGGATTCGAACCTGCGTCGACTAGGTCGATCGTGCAGGCTCTACAAATAGCTGGTGTCCTTGCATCAGCTATTTAGTGTAGTATTCTCACCGTAACGCGATCTAGAGAATTATTGATGGCACAATCACCATTGTTACCATTATCAAAACTTACGGACCACGAAAAGTTAACTATCTGTTGGTCGCACAAACAGTTGCCCCGCGTGGGCATCGAACCCACGACCCCCAACGCCGAAGTCAATACCTTGGCGACTGCGCCACAGAGTCATCTAAAAAGTTCCATCTTATTTTCGCCTTATCAAACAAATTTATCTTATCTTATGAAAAAAATAATCATTTTGTTGACTCCGTGGCGCGGTGGCCGAGGTATCGGCCACGGCGTCGGGAGTCGCGGGTTCGATTCCCACGCGGGACGACTATTTGTGGGCGTTTGTCCACCCACACAGGATAACGTCACCCTAAAGTGAGGGCAGACCTTGAAGATGGCCAGCTGCGTCTCGTACTCCCTGCGCAGGTCGTCGTTGATGGTGGTGCTGGTGTGGGCCCTCTGCAGCACCAGCCCGTAGCGCTCCTTCTCCGCCTTGAAGCGCGCCTCCATGGCTTGGAACCGCTCCTGCCCGGTTCATCGGTTTCATCACGCCAATGACTGCCATCCAAGTTCAGTCACACCGATCGTCAATTTCATAAAATAACATCATCATCGATTTGGTTGTCGTTCATCATTCTATCGCATACCACCATTACCTGCACAACCACCACTTGCCGATAACGATATCATTGCAGGACACTCGACATCAATACGACGGTCGTTTGTCATCATCCAACAACATCTCCGTAACTATCCTCAGCAAGAATGCAGTCATTAGGTCGATCATAGATCCGCGAGGATTATTCACTACATTTTCATAATTAACTTCTTTCTCTCTTAACATGAGAGAACAGAAACGATAAAAGGGCATGATTTTATCTAGATTACGATAGATTACTTCTGACCACCCACCTCCATGGCCTTGACCTCCGCGTTCCTGATCTGCAGCAGGTCCTTGGTGATGAGGTTGATGTCCTTGAGCGACTGCACCTGCGCGGTGAGCGCCTCGATCTGCAGCTCCTGGTTCTTCACCATCTTCGTCTTGTCGAAGATCATGCCGCGCGCCTTGCTCAGCAGCTGCGAAGCCGACCAACGCTCGATCTTCAATACACCTTCTATTACTCTCTATCGGACACCTATTTTCAATGTGCTAGAATGGGCGGGCTCGTCCGGGTAAGTACCACGACCTCGCATAAGACAGCGTTTCGTCCGGTGAGTGAGGTAGAGTAGGGGCCCGTTTTATTATGACGAGCTTTATTATGAGGGGCATTTAATATCTAGTGTATACATGCCTTTTATAGGGTATTTTACGTGATATTCCTTTATGTGCTCTGTATTTTTCAACGATCCCCTTGTTAATTTATAGACAACGCACATACTTACGCTCCTCTGAAACTCCCAAAGGTGTACCATTAGATAATGCCGATAGCATTCAGGCCGCCTTTGTACATCTTTTGTGCGCGTAAAAAACAAATCGATACTGATATTATAAACACGAAAGTAACTCTGTCCGTTTCGATTTCAAGCCAAAACTACTGAACCGATTTGAATGAAATTTGGTACACAGATAGTGTAGAGCCTGAGAAAGGACATAGGCTATTTTCAATTGGATTTTCTTTTTCAAAGAAGGATATTTAATTAAGGGCTCCAAAGCGAGCGAGGCCGCGGGCGAAAGGCAAGTGAACAAACAAATGTATACCTCCTCGTGCTGCTGCTTGATCTTCTCCACCAGCTCGTGGTTCTTGCCGCTCGGCTTGGAGAGCGCCGCCTGCAGCTCCGTCTCCAGGTTCCTCACCCTCGCCTTCAGCAGGTCGATTTCCTCCTCGCGCACCTGTGCGGACCTTTCCATCACAACCAGAACACACACGCACAACCAGTTCCTAAGCAAAGCCTGCCTATTGACAGGTTTAAGAAATTTTTCAAAGAAAAACTACATATACAATACTGGCAATGGGTTGATCTCTCCCGGGCTATTTCTAAAATGAAATAAAAATTATAATATTTAAATGTTTTTGAGCTTAAGAAATTGCAGAAAATAGAATGCCTACGGAGTTTCTTTGGCCTGTTTATTCTCAGTTAGAGAAAAGGATTACTATCGATAGATGAATTTTATGTTTCTTATGTCGAGGAATGAACGATTTTGATAGAAGGATATATAAAGGCAAGTTCTAATTTTTCGCTTTCACGTCCACACCGTGTCGATTAATACGCGTTAAAGGTAATTGTAAGGTGGGTCTACGGCGTAGCATCGTAGCATGTGACCGGTAGACTAAAGACCGAATTGCATTTAACCATAAAACGACATTAAATTTAAAACGGGTGGGAAATAAAAATTATTATGCTAATTTAAATTGTTTTGTGCAAATCTTTGTTGCACTTATGAACATTAAAATCTTTTCGTACTTTTTCTACATACTTTAATGTTCAATCTTAAGTGCAGAGATCGTGGTTCTCGTTCGCCGTTGTAAAACGATCGTTTGCATGCTGGAGGAGCGCCGCCTGCCTCAGCTAAAAAACGTCTCCGTTAAGATTTCGTCTCAAATAGCCTCAGTGGCTCGCCTTCAAGACAGTTCGATTCCCTCCTTTTCGCGCACCTAGTGATGCGGAATACTTTCCACTTTAATCGCTTAACCTAGTAAAAACTAATAAAATCATGCTTTATCGCCTAATGAAATCGCTTTTCAGAGCGACATACACCTCCCTCTGCTCTCTTCTTCATGTTTCTTTAGCAAACATTCTTTCCGTAATGGTTGTCTGGAATAAATCGCTTTCAGAGCGATATAACCGCCTATTGTACTTCCTTTAACATTCGTTTGTTATTTTCAATTTTTTAGTATACAATAAAGTATAAATAATAATTATTCAAATGATGATCTGTTTCACTGTGGCTTTTATATCTCGTTTCGTTGAAACTTCTGAATAAAATGTATGAAACAATCACTGTCCTATACAATTGCTATGTTGGAAACATATAAGGTCAATATATCGGCCAGTTGTTGAGTTTTGTAAACACAAGAAAGCTATTTATGGAAATAAATTTCTTTTTTACTATGCGCGACACCTATTTCATGGTGTTACCAAGGTAACCAATAAAAACTTTGTGACATTTACCTATAATTCCAAGTTAATTACTCGTAATTTTACTGTTATGTGTTGCATTCAATGTCTGCTTTTACAAAGAATACTAGCAGAGGGAATAAAATTTTTAATTATTTTTCTTTTGTAACGCCAAAGAAGTATAACTTCTTACGTGCATACGAAATACATAAGTACACACACACACATGACTTTTATATAACATTGTATATAAACAAAGATACCCGTCAAACCGGGTATGGAATAAACCTTCAACTCCAATCGCAGACCATCCTCTGACCTCTCGCTCTTGACCTTCTCCAACTGCTCGATCTTCTTCAGCAGTTCCGTTTCGCGTTGCTGCCAATCTCCCTGCAAATATTTTTTTTATTGTTTTTTAGTATTTGTTGTTATAGCGGCAACAGAATACATCATCTGTGAAAATTTTCAACTGTATAACTATTATGGTTCATGAGATACAGCCTGGCGACAGACGGACAGAGAGCGAAGTCTTATTATTAGGGTTTCGGTTTACCCTTTTGGTAAATAAACCTAAAAAAAACAACTTATAACCTAAAAATTAGAGAAATGCGAAAGATTTATGCTGTTACTTACATCGACTGTTGGTTGACTCTGCGTTGCAACTTCTAGTTCGGCTGGAGTACCTTGTGGCTCGGTTTTAATGTCTTCCTTACTCACTTCCGGTTCAGGTTTGATTTCGCTTGGCTTTTCTACTACCTAAAGCACGAATGAATGATAAAAACTATGCAAAACGCACCACCTACGCACACACATACGCACGCACGCACACACGCACGCACGCACATACACACGCACACACGCACGCACGCACGAGCGCCATCAAGAACTAAGTCACTGTCATGAAACTGTCTGAATTTAAAACAACCCCAATAAAACTAACGGCCGGTGTCAATCTTCTATCTACATAGATTTGGAGCCGTGATAGCTCAGTGTCCGGGCGCTCGCCTTTAATTCAATATACTCGAGCAACCTGAGTTCGATCCCCGGTGTCGGCACCGACGAAGTTTTTAACTTTAAGTGCTGACTTATCACGTGCTCCGCGGTGAAGGAAAACATCGTGAGGAAACGTGCATATTTTCGAAATAATTACAAAAAAAATATATGTATATATTTCGAAAATATGTGAAGCCCCACAATCCGCAGTGGGGCCGCGTGGTGGACTATGCCCTGATACCCTCTGTATAGAGGAGGCCTTTGCCCAGCAGTGGGACATGTATAGGCTGTTACTTTACTTTTTTTTACTTTACTACTATTTGACATTAGCTCGATAATACTTAAAATTATTATATATTTGATAGAATATTGAAACCGGAGGTAAGTACACAGTATGAATGCAACTCACTGTGGATTCGGAGACTGGTGAGATTTCTTGTGACAAACTGACGGGTTCCGGGGCTTCCCCGCCGCCCGTTTCGGGCGCTTGAACCGGATCCGCCTGCAAGGCAAATTACTTTCGTCCTCACCACTTTGTGTGGCAAGCGAGCTGGCGGTCCACCCGATGTAAAGAAATAATCTCTTCTTATTGCATTTTCATTAAAAATAGTGGGATTCAGTTGCCTCACTCACTCAATCACTAGACAAAGCGCGAAACTTCAGCACTTCGGTGGTTCTCCCAGACGGGCATGCCAATTCGTGGAAAACTCAGGAGCTGATATGTACCTCTACCACAGAGCACATACTTTCATACTGACGAACCGATTGGCGAGGGGAGTAATGACCCTACCTCCTGCGCGAGAGGGTGTGGGTTCGATCCCCGCTACTGTAAAAATATTGTGTAACGAACATAGTGTTTTTCCAGTGTCTGGTTGTTTATATAATAATATGTATAATATGTATTTATTTACAAAAAAAAAGTATCTTTAAGTATGTTTTTCAGTGTTCTAGTATCCCTATGGGTACTAGAACACTGAAAAACAGCGTTGCTTAGTTTGGGATAAGAGAACGTTGACTTTTTTAGACAACTTTCTCTAGTCCGCAAATATTAAAAAAAAAATATTAGCACATAGATATTCACATATAAATGGGTATGCATGGGTGCACGTTGCAATTGACTTTTTTATATTAGACGGCGCCAAATGTGCTGGCGGTTCGCCTGATGTTAAGTGATAACCGTAAAAGTTTGCGTCGCCCGTAGGGTTGCACGTTGCCGGTCTTCCGTGGGGTCCTGTTACCCCTCGGACGAACCAACCCATTCGTAAAACATGATTGACGAGATTTGAGTGTCTCAGCTTCCGTGGCCAGAGTCATATCTACCTCGTATTTGTATTTAATAACATTGATCGTACATCTATCATGTTTCTTTGCTAATTCTCTTCATAAGTCACTCTTCTTGAGGTTTCAAATGCGTTCCACGTACCCTTTGATTGCTAACCCAGCGACGTGTCCACAGCGAACGCATAATTAAATTCCGATTACGTTTAGCCCATCACAAATTTTCAATAATTAAACTCGGCTTGAAATGACTTACGTTTGACAAATGTGTCATGTTTCATTTTTAAATGCTTCAAAACGGCCAGCCATTAAAACTTGCTATACACAAACCTGTTTTAATTACAGAATTTGTTACTGTCAACTTTATCTCAATCAACCAATTCTATAGTACCAATGTAGAATAAAAGTATAAAGTAGAGTCGGACTTTCCGCCCGGACGAAGGTTTCCATGCCACTACCTATAAATGTTTCACTATTCTTAAATATTTTTTATTTCGTTGTTTATTAGTATTTATTATTATAGCGGAAATACATTATTTATGTGAAAATTTCGACTGCCGTAACTATCACGGTTCATGAGATATAGCCTGACGGATGGACGGGCGGACAGACAGACAGACAGAGAGGCAGCGGAGTCTTAGTAATAGAGCCCCGTTTTGCCCTTTGGGTACGGAACCCTAATAACAATCATTATGCTTAATTCCTGACGATTTCATATTTTGCGTCTAACGCATGCATGCGCGACACTTATTCTATCGCTTTGTATTCAGTGAATACCACGTTCTCTCATGTAACGAAATCTGCCTAAACGTGACGCGCCTTTGACGTTTCACTCTCAACTTGCCTCTGGTTATTTATCGGATTTATCGCTGCTCAAGAAGTGGTAGGACCAAGTAGAGCACACAAATGGGCAGGTCAGTCCGGGTAAGTACGACGTCCTCACAGAAGACCAGCGTGAGGTGGGAGTGTTATACTTATGCGTTTCGTCTGGTGAATGAGGTAGCCGGAACGCATTCTATTAAAAGGTGGCGACACATCTGCAACCCTACGGGTGTGGCAAATGTAAACGGGCGGCGGTTATCACTTAACATCAGGTGAACCGCCTGTTTGCTTGCCACCGTCTCACATTAAAGAAAATCACAAACAAAGACTACCGGCACACGGGAATTTTTGTTACGCTACGTATTGGTCACATAAATAGTTTTCCCGTGTGGGAATCGAACCCTCGACCCCCAACGCCAAAATTTATGGCTCAGCAACTGGCCCAACGAGTCATAATGTCATTAAATATCTAATAGGTCTGACTACCAGCTCAACATTGATAATAAATTTATAACGACTAATCAGGAGGTAGCTGAAGTATTTGAAAAATTCTTTAGTGAGATTCCTACTTTAACTACATTGTCGCTGAATTCTTCTCCTGCTGTTGCCGAGACATTACTTAAGGAAAATGTAAGTGCTTGCACCACAATCTTTAAATTTCAGGCTGTATATGCAAAAGATATTATAAAAATGTTTAAGACCATTGAACTTAAGAAAACGGCAGATCTATGGGGAATGTCCGTTGAAGTGACTGCCTCAATAATAGATTCAATCGCACCTTATTTGTCAATAATTTTTAACAGTAGTGTAGATTCTGGCGTATTCCCTGATCTCATGAAACACAGTAAAGTCATACCTGTATTTAAATCCGGTAGTACTTCGGACCCCACTAATTTTAGAGCCATTTCTATACTACCAACACTTAGTAAAATTTTCGAAAAACTTCTTCTAGATCAGCTGTTAACACATTTTAACTTAAATAAATTATTACATCACAACCAGTTTGGTTTTACAAGGGGTCGTTCTATAACCGATGCTGGTTGTAGAGCTGATCAAACATATATTTGAGGCTTGGGAGAGTTCACAGGATGCTCTGGGTGTCTTTTGTGATCTTTCCAAGGCTTTCGATTGCGTGAATCATGAAACACTGATCAGGAAATTACGCCATTATGGCATTAAAAGTACCGCGCTTGACCTCATTAAGTCATATCTATCTAATAGAATTCAAAAAGTTGTAATTAATGGTGCTAGTTCTTCTGGGTCGACGGTATCTATGGGCGTTCCGCAGGGCTCGATTCTCGGCCCATTTCTCTTTCTCATTTACATTAATGATCTTCCTTACTTTGTAGGGAGTAAACACGATATATAGTTTTATTTGCCGATGATACATCATTAATTTTTAAAATCAATCGACAGCTTGTTACACTTGACGAGGTAAATAATGCTATGTCAGAAATAGTCTATTGGTTTAATACTAACAATTTACTATTAAGTGGTAATAAAACTAAATGTATGAAATTTTCAACACCTAATGTTAAACATTTGGGTGCTACCAATGTACTTATAAATGGGGGGGAGTTAGGCCTTGTGGATACGACTGTCTTTCTTGGAATAACTCTCGATGCAAAGCTTCAATGGGGTCCCCATATATCCAAACTTGCGAATAGACTAAGTTCTGCAGCGTATGCTATAAGGAAAATAAGATGTCTAACTGATGTAAAAACGGCTAGAATTGTGTATTTTAGTTACTTCCATAGCATAATGTCATATGGTATTTTGCTATGGGGGCACGCGGCCGATATAGAAACAATTTTTATTTTGCAAAAAAGGGCCATAAGAGCTATTTATAATCTAGATCTGAATGCATATTTGAGAGAGAAGTTTAAAGAAATAAATATATTAACCTTAGCCTCTCAATATATATATGAAAATGTTATGTATGTGCGTAGAAATATTAATAATTTTGATAAGAATACTGATATACATAATGTGAACACTAGGAACAAACACAAGCTTGTAATGCCAGTTACTAGACTCCATAGAGTAAGTAACTCGTTCATGGGGCGGTGTATACGCTTTTACAACAAAATCCCAGTAAATGCGCAAAACCTGCCTATTACAGGTATAAGAAATTTATTAAAGAAAAAGTTTATAAAAAGGGTTATTATAATACAAATGAATACATTAATGACAATAACCCCTGGGAATGAGTTGATCGCTCCCAAGCTATTTCTAAAAGGAAAAAAAATCAGTTCTATAATTTTTGAATTTTTTGTTAAGAAAAAAAAATAATTACAAAAAAGAGGATACCTACGGAGTTTCTTTCGCCTGTTTCTTCTCCGCTAGAGGAACCTCATTGCGAAACGGTGGTAGATTTAAAAAAATATATGACTATTGATAAATGAAATGTAAGTTTCTTATGTCGATGAATAAATGATTTTGATTTTTTTTTTTTAATAGAAAAAGAAGACTTACCTGTTTAACCTCTTGTGTGTGTTCCGATGTGCCGTTGGCTATGACTGGTGTGGGCTCGGTTTGAACCTGGGACTTGTCAGAATCCGCCTACAATAACAAAAAC